GGTAACTGGACCAGGGAGATGCTCCCTTGTGACTAAAGATGACAACCACGACTGGAATGACTGGCGATGACTGTGATCACAAGGGGTGACTGGGATGACTGAAATGACTAGAGATAATTGAAGCTACTAGGGATGACTAAGATGATTAGGGATAACTGGAATGACCAGGGTGACTGGGATGATTGGGATGACTGGGAAGACTAGGGATACCTGGGATGATAAGGGATGACTAGGGATGACTAAGATGACTGGGATGACTAGGGAAGGGATGATCAGGGATCATTGGGATGATTAGGGATGACTAGACATGACTGGGATGACTAGGAATGACTTGGGATGACTGCAGGGATAAAAAGGGATGAATAGGGATGACTATGGATAACTTGGGATGACTAGGGATCACTAGAGATGACTGGGATGACTAGGGATGAGGGATAGCTGGGAGGAATCTGCATAAGTTCGATGACCAGGGATTACTAGGGATGACTAGGATGACTAGGGATGACTTGGATGACTAGGGATAACTGGGATGACTAGGGATAACTTGGATGAATAGGGATAACTGGGATGACTACGGATGACTAGGATGACAGGATGACTAGGAATGACTTGGGATGACTGGGATGAAAAGGGATGACTAGAGATGACTCCGGATAACTAGGGATGACTAGGGATAACTGGGACGAGTCTGGATGACTTTGATGACAAGGGATGACTAAGGAAGGCTGGGATGACAAGGGATGACTGGGATGATTTGGGATACCTAGGGATGACAGTGGCTTTCTCTTCCTGACTTACAGTAAATTTTTACTTTTGCTACAGCCTGAATACCTTTTCACACTAAACCAAAGTGTATAACAGGAACTATGTCATATGTGACGCTCCACTTATGAGATTGGAGGGCCAAAATCTCCGTTCTTATGTGTGAACAAAGACCTATCTGGTATGATTTTTGCTGGCACAAAAGTTACCTTCATGTAGTACAGTGTGAATGCATAGCTCAAAGGATGATATTTATGACAAATTATCAGACAGTGTCATGAATGTCTTTTATTGCTATCTAACTGCTATCTAAGTGTCATGCATCCTTAACAGTTTTTCCGTTCACCATTCATCTAGTGTGAATATAGCCTGAGTCATTTGTTATGGCATGATGAAAGCTGAAATACCTCAAGCTTACCTTAACTATGAAGTATGGGTCAGCACACATCAAGAAGAGAAGTTCATCCAGAAAATGGAACAAGAGACCAAGCATGTCATCACCTGATAAAAGNGTTCTTATGTGTGAACAAAGACCTATCTGGTATGATTTTTGCTGGCACAAAAGTTACCTTCATGTAGTACAGTGTGAATGCATAGCTCAAAGGATGATATTTATGACAAATTATCAGACAGTGTCATGAATGTCTTTTATTGCTATCTAACTGCTATCTAAGTGTCATGCATCCTTAACAGTTTTTCCGTTCACCATTCATCTAGTGTGAATATAGCCTGAGTCATTTGTTATGGCATGATGAAAGCTGAAATACCTCAAGCTTACCTTAACTATGAAGTATGGGTCAGCACACATCAAGAAGAGAAGTTCATCCAGAAAATGGAACAAGAGACCAAGCATGTCATCACCTGATAAAAGTCAAATTATTTTTCTCAAATATTTAATAGTATTTATGACAGTTGTGAGGTTCATTCACAGTTATAGGAAATGAAGGGCTATAAACAAGAAAGTCCTTGTAATATCTGGAAATCTTCGAATGCATGGGCTCATTGTTATGCATTTATTTGAAGCATATGCGCACAAAGTGCAATGACTATGTAATACTGACAGGCTTACGAGATAATTATATAACTGGATAAAAGATGACCGCATCTTGTTGTCCTCTAATCCACGACATAAGATTACACAAGAGATGATTAAGTACTGGGGCAACTTCAAAGGAAGATAAAAGTAAAATGGTTTACTTTCAATGGAAAATAGAAGAAAATACTTTTTAAAAAACAATCCGACAGATTATATGGGTTGAACGAAACATTATAATCTAACGATACCTTCTGCTGTAATTTCTTCTACCCTCACAATGTCAACTGTGCATAAATCTGTCATGTAGCCAAACATGGCTGTTGCTACCTTAACACAATATTAAAATGATGAGAAATTATTCTGTACATTAACTACAAAGTACCCAGGGGGGACTTCCTAGTAACAGGCTAATGGAGATGTGTTAAACTTAATGCACTAAGGCAATTGTTGCAATACACTTCAGAATGACCTAGTTCAAAGGCTTTACAAGGTAGATGCATAAACAAGTTTGGATCACAACAATCACATTTGCCCCCAAAAAGCTAAGATGCAGTATATAATAACTGGCCAGAGAATAGATTATAATGGGTTCTAAAGGGGTTCTGAGAAGCCAGCGGCACATACTGAGCAAAAAGTTGACTGAGGTAAGCCCTCCCCCTGCCAGATTAACTACTAAACAAAATGAATCAAAACAGAGGCTTAAAACGAGACATAGTATAAAACTGATCATGTATACAAACTAAAAAAAATTATACCTGTTCAAAGGCTTCCTTCAGATTGTCACCCCCTAATTAGTTCAAAGATGTCAACAGCAATTTATTTCGAATAAAGGAAATTATTTAACAATACTACAAAAAGTTGTTAGGAAATAAAGTGGGGTCTACAAATGTATTTACTAGTGGCAAAATGAATTACAATAGAACTTGAGCTCGATCTCTGCAGTCATCAACTACAATTGTACAAATAATGCAACGTATCACTTCAGAGGAAAAAAAATGACTTTAACTGGGTAACATTATTACTAGTAACCCAGGACTTTGTGGCTCACAAATAAGGACAAGAAACAATAACTGAAATTAACATACCAGTAACATAATAATCAGTTGGATATTTGAAAAAGGAGATGCATGGGCGATACTGAGAATTATCATTCAGATAACACAGAGGAAATATCCGCAATAGTAATTAACTTTTCATATACATGTACAATATCCACATCTTCATAAAAGGATACAAGCATGGAGTCTGCCAAAAAAAATAAATTATAATAATTGATTAGTAATGATAATAACAATGATACTAATAACACAATTTTTATGTAAATTTTTGGGAGATAAAGAAGTTTTCAGTTAGTGTTGACAATATTATTTATTCCAAGTTGCATGTATCCTGCAGGGTGCCTCACAAATAAGCAGCAGTGGACTACACCACCTTTGATGAATCTTTGAATAAAAGTGTTTGTTGCATAAATTTCTCCCATTAACAAATCTTGTAGTTTCCCAGGCTCTCCTTCCTAGGGACCATCTGTATCACAATATCACATCATGCAAGCCATTCCAGTGGATTTGATTGTGCTAGGGGTGGCTGGACTGATTTCCACTTGAGGGATTCTTATGGAAACCTCTCTGCTGTGCCTAGATTGTTTAGGCCCTTACTATGCTAACTTTTAAGGGACAAGTTCCTTAGCTCAGCAGTTGCTGGGGACGTGAGTGGTACTTACTGGACATCAGCTGTATGATCCAAATCTGTAGCGTTACAGACAAAAAGAAAAAAGGAGACAGAGATGAGTCTATTCAGCATTGGCTTTAGTAGGGACTTATTGCAAATCACTATGGCAACATTCCTTACGGAGGTCATGGATATAGAGTCCTGGGGGGGGTACGCTGCCGTAGCCCACCAAATTTCAACTTTAAGCAAGTTGTACCCAAACAGTAATTATGGGGTTTCCCACTCATTTGCTTTCGCTGTTAGTAAAAGGTAGGGAAGATGTAATTACTAGAAAACCAGAAGCGTCAAATACTTTCTTGAGAAGTGAAAACAATCTGTGATAGGTTTTAAAACCTGTCGCTCTCAAAAATAGGGAAAAAGTTGAACTTTATACTCATGCAAGAGTGATTACAACACAAGACAGGTCTTCACGTTGTAGGATTTGACGCCACGGGAATTAAGGTCATTTCCAAACATACATGTATGCACTGCATTTATTGAGGGCTTTTTTACTTCCCGCTGCTGTAGTAGAGGGCATCATAGTGATTTTGCTTAAAGTCCCTAGTATATGTATTACTACCTTTTATTATATAGACACGAGTGTTTTACTGGAAAATATACCACTCGTAAAATTCATAAAAACTACATCTGGGACCTGAATCTCACACGTGAGTTTATCAATGACATAATTTTGGTCATTTCCCTCTATTATTTTATTGATTTCTTCTTGTCTATAAAATAAAAAGAACATTACACGGTTGCTTGAAAGTATGAATTTTATTTTTCGAGTGGCAAAAACAATATTTTACTCTCTCGCTGCGCTCGTTCGTAAAATATTGTTCTGCCACTCGAAAATAAAATTCATATCTTCGCGCCACCGTGTAATATCCTCTATGTACAGTATACATGCATTACTCTTAACAAAAAAGTAATGAATATAGAGAAAATTGTACACAATTGTACAAAATGAACCAGAAATGAAGGCTTCTTGGTTAAATTTTACCCTTGGTTTACATTATATTTTCCTTTGTTTTTGGGTATGGTTAATCATGATAATGAGTTTGAAACAAAACGATAAAAAAAATTTAAACCAAGAATAGAATTTCTGAACCACAAGACATGAATAAATTTATACATTAATTTGTGAAAACTGAAATGAAGATCCCGTGTTATAATAGTAGTCAGTTAGTACTGATCGATGTGAAAAACTAAACTGTATGTAGTGAAAGTAGTATTAACATTTCACTACTGTTCCTTTAATAGTAAATGCTTACACTCATATTTGACAGTTTTTTCTCCGCTTGCAGAACTTTCAGCCATGTTAAGGGACAAAAAGAGATTCCTACCGCGCAAAATGCAAACACCTTAAGCTGATGACTTCGATTTCACCACAATTTCATCACTTCTATCTCGTTCAACCGTCCGCCATACTGATTGCGCCTGCGATTATTTGGTACGTTAAGAGCATGCGCCTAAAAGCGTTACTTCGACCAAGATGGCGGCAGATTTGAGTGTCGTCAATGCTGTTGTTGTTATTCAGGTAAACAAAATAGAAACCATTGTCCCAACTTTGTGGATTACTAAGTTGTACAAGATTATTTAAATATTGTCTTGTTTTGTATGCCCATCAACAGGCACAAATTCGAGGATTCCTAGTTCGTAAAAAACTCCAAGAAGTCCGTAAGGAATTTAAAGAAGTTCTACAAGAGTTAGAAAGCGACGTAAAATTCGTGTGCTGGAAGAAAAAGGGTTTAGCGATGCCACTGGTAACTTCCGATCCCAAATTATTTAAGAGCACAAATGATGAATCAAACGTTGTTAGCAGAGAAAATGACAATGAAATAACAAGGAAGGAGGGATGGCGTAGTTGTAGCAACGTCGACGAGACCGGTGGTCATTCACTTGGAAATGAAATATTAAATGAATTACATACCGATCAAGTTGAAAACCAGGAAATTATAGACCATGAAGGAACTATACTGGAAAGAACTTCAAGATCTGCAAGATGTGATAATGATTTTCGAAAGAACCTAGAATTTCTTCCGGAGAATGAGGTTGTCGAAATGGAAAGTGGAAGCGAAAAAAGGCCTCACCCTGCAGAGAAAAGTCTTGAGAGGCAAGAAAATTTAGGTGGTCATGAAGAATTCGAAGAGAGAGGATATGATTTTGGGGCTGATAGATTACCCCAAGAAAGAACATTGTATTCTTCTTCAGATATTCCTTTAAATGGCGCTATCAATCCTCTGTTGTCCAGTAACCAGGAGGTAAAGCGAAAAGAACATAACAATGGATCTAAAGCATCGCCCATGGATTTGGGGCAAAGGAGATCTTATCTGAGGGATCAGGCACTTCTCAGTGAAAGTTGGATGAGTGACAGATCATTTGGTAAGCTAACAAACAGCTGCTGTTTACAGTTATACAGTGTGGGACAGTGTTAATTTAAAACTTTTAGACAGATAAAAATAGATGGGGCTGTAAGGACTTTAGCCCATTTTTCACCAAAATTAAAAAAATTCTTTTTTGGTCATTGTACAGTGGAACCCTGTTAGTACAGACACCAACGGGACACACCATAGTGTAAGTATTAAGTGGATTAATTTTAGAGAAAATATATATTAAGCTTCTATTTTGTCGGGACAAACTGTCTGTTATATACGGTTGTCAGTATTAAGCTGGTGTCCGTACAGCAGGGGTTCACTGCACTGTTTATGTGGCATTTTTGTACATTATTATTATCAGTGACAAGAGTGCTTTGTTTAAACCATAGAGGGGGGTACTCCAGATTTCAAGTGACGGGGGTCATTAAATAGGGGCAAAAATCAAAATGCAAAAAAAGTCCTCAGGGCTTCCAACAAAACCCAAACAAAATCCAAAAATTAACCCCCCAAAAATCCCATGCCTAAGTTCCCATCCCTAACAAGTTCGGTTGTACATTTCTGCAGAACCACACAGCACAATATGTGAGCTACACCATGAATCTTCAGATTGTTTTGAATACCCCCCAAAATTTCAAACCCCCAAAAATCTTCCATCATCCTCATCACTTGAAATCCGAAGTAGCAACCCCGCCCCACCCCCCCTCCCCCCAACCCTTGGGCGTTTAAAAAGCTAATTTTGATGGTCTATTCCTCCAGCAAGGTTATGTATAAAATCCTATGCCAAACACATGTTATGATTTGGGAACAGGTTGATTTGCGTTAATGAAGGTTGGGGAGATGGGGGGTGAGGTTAAGGGGCACTGCAAAAGAGACAGTCTGCACGTTTTTCCACAGGCTTGCATCTCTGAACATGCTATAGATTAGCCTACATAGCAAGCATTAATTTGTTTTACCAGGGTGTTCATTAGGCATTGATCAGAGATCGGAGAATTCTCTGTTTACAATGAAAAATTCTCCTGCTAACGTTCGGTTGCCTGTGACTATTTTTATTCAGATGAGGATTCTCTTTCAAAATATTTCTCTTGTAACATTACCCCTTTCCCCATACTCCTGCTTCTAGAATTCTTAATGAAAACCCTGTTATACACTGTAGACATGCAATACATTGTTTTATTTCTGCCCATCAATCCGGTCTTGTACGTGTCTCTTGTCAGATCCAGTGGAAGATGACAAAACAACAGCATTTACCGACCTTCCCACTGATCCTGTTAAACTATGTGAACTTAGAGATCACATTGGAATGGAATTACTTTGGACAGAGCAAGCAATACAAAGTAGGAAAAAGGTAAGAGCCTAGACTCCTTTATTATCTACTACTACATGTTATTTTTCTTTACCAAGCTAAGCACGCTTCTAGTACAAGCATGTGGTAATAGTGAGATGCAAATGAGTCTCACCCAAAAACACGGAGCAGTAATATTTAGAATAAAACTTTAGTGTACACTTTTAACAAGTGCGCTCTCACGAGAAGGTCATAATATTTCCTGACACGAACATTGAAACTTGATCCGTGATCACTGAGACACGAGACTCCATCCTCAAAAGTTTTGAGAATCGATAATCTACTCTCGAGAATCGAGTCTCAAGGATCGAGACACAAGTGACTGTCAACTTACCTTTAAGTGGTACTGTATGTATCATTCTAACTTTCGAATCTGTGGACAAAATCCTATCATAAGAACCTTTTTGTAGCAAAGGAACAGGAAACATTGAGCATCTCTTCAAATAGTACAGTGCAATCAATACAGTTCACATATATAACACGGCGTCAATTTCAAATAAGCGCCTTCCAGGGTCGTTTGTTGTAGTTTGACTGCATTGCATGACGGGAAGATGACAATTATCCTCCATTCATGTTATCATTCAAATGAAACTTCAGTGGCAGAACTTTTGCATCATAAGATTTAACAAAAAGAAATAAGGAATTCTTTTGGCAAGAAGGGTGGGTGAGGTGAATTTCCACTCTGGCCTCTGTTAAAAGTGAAAGAGAACTCTCCATTTCTCTCCTGGTTTACACTTTGTGCCAGTACCAGTGGTGTTTGTTGAGATTACTATGCATGACTGATTACTTGTTACGGTTGTTGTTTTCAGTACCTGAATTTAAGAAAGGACCTGTCACATCAAGAGTGTGGCTCTGATTGAACCATCACCTGGGACTGAGCAGCAGATTATGAACTTGGTTTTCCATTGGCTGTCAAGAGTTCTGGTATAAAAATTGTTAGATATTGCCGAACACCGTGCAGTGTGCAAACCTCTCATTGCGCACACCTGCCCAAGACGCACACCTCCCCTTATGGACAGTTGCATATTGTTCCCAAACTTTGTTCCTACAATTCCTTCCTCCATAATACAAATGAGATAACACCTACTACCCAAGCCATTTAGGGCTGCTGTTACACCAATGCATCAGTGAACCGGATATTTCTTTCCCAGAGCAAATGACACTTAACAAGATATCTACATAATTTGCTGTAAAGTGTACAATACACAAAATGAAAAAAATTGAGATCAAAGTTTCCTATACCCCAACCTCTGCAGATCGAAGTTTCCTATTACCTGACCTCTGCATTTCATCCAGGCAATGTAAGGTGATTTGTAATGGACTCAAATGATAAAGCAAACTATCACTACTTTGTGTGTTTCTCAATCTATTCAAGGTTGCAGTTATTAGCACATGCTAATGACTACTAGTCAATGTAACCCCTATCCCCTCTCCACCAAACCAGGCATACATGATGATGTGCAGACCTCTTCTCTCATCCATGCATTTCTACACGTAGGTACCTACATGTATCATATACAGTGAAACCTCTATTGAGCGGACACCTTCGGGACCTTCCCAAGTGTCCACTTAATGGAGGTTGTAAAAATTGCACAATGTTTGTTAGCGATCAAAATTCAGCGTTTACTCTGTACTGTGATAAAGTTGCATGTTGTTAAAGAAGCTATCCAGAGTTCAAGTTCATTACCTGCTTAAATTTGTTTGTAAATGTAACAACATTAACTGACTCCAGTCCGTATTTCAAGGACGTAATCCAATACTATGAGTGTCAATTCAGTCCGGTGTCCGCTTAATAGAGGTTTTTAACAATAGAAATTAACCAAATACACCTTATTTTAGTGTCTGCGTCCACTTAATAGAGGTGTCCGCTGAATAGAGGTTCGTTTTAAGGGAAATATAAGACGTTTATTTCAGGACCCGACTTTGCGTTCTCTTAATAGAGGTTGTCTGCTTAATTGGGGGTCCGCTTAATAGAGGTTTCGCTGTAATTATTCCATTTTTTTGTTCTTCTATTAGTTTTCCTTTTTAGGTTTAATGTGTAACCATATTACTTAAACCTCTCTGTTTGCAAAACTGTAACTTTGTTTATCTCTTTGTTTTTTTATTTTTATTTTGGCAAACTCTCTTTTTTGGAAATCTGTAAATATTTGTAGAATTTGTGAGACTGACCTGCCTTAATTTGTTAAAATACTTGCAGTTCAGTCAGATTGATTGTAAACAGTTATAATAAAAATTATAATAATATTAAACTTGATTGACTCTTTTCGCCACAGGGGCTTCGCAGGGAGGCTGGAGAGAGGGAAAAAAGAAAGCACACAGAGGACAACAGTAGGAAGGGGAAAGAGTTCAAGTGCCTTCCCATAGTTACCCCAGCATGGTTACTGCGATTTTTCCTGGGATACCAAGCAGGAGCCTCTGTAGAGAGGGTGGGGTCTTGGCTAGAGAGAGTGAGTTACATGTAAGGTTGCCGCCCTGGGGCAATACTTCAAAATGTGTTATTTCAGTGCCGGATCAAGACCTTGAGATAAGGGAGGGGCCGAGTCATCCAGACCCTTAGATGGGGGGCGGTCTCCCAAATCAATTTTTTCGGCCCTTTGGGCCTCAGTTTGGTCCAAAAATAAGGCAGGGCCAGGCCCTTCCCCTGGATCCACCACTGAATTTACAGTGAGCTGCTTCTGGTCCACAACAAAGAAGCTATAGAACCAAGTACACAACAAACGTAAGACCATACGGTCAACTCCCTTGATAGAAAACACCGTAGGGACCTCAAGTCAGTGTGAGTCAACTCTTACCTTGCGCTCACCCCACTATAACTCCCGGGGGGTACCCCCTTGTAAGGGCTTAATGGGGACGTGCGGCCAGCTAGGGTATGTTTTTCGGGATTTTTGTATTAAACACGGTATAGAGAACTAAAGTGTGACGTCATAAAAATGAAATTTCTGAAATTATGGGATTTGTCAGGATATTCTGAAAGAACAATGTCCAAGAGGCCTACTTGCCAAAAATGAGCATTTCGGGGCAAATTGTCTCTGAGATCGTAGCCCAGTTATGCTTAGAAAACTTCATACAAACCCTTCTAAATTTTTTTTTGGGTCGACCCAAAAAAAAATTAGAAGGGTTTGTATGGAGTTTTCCGAGTATAACTGGGCTTCTATCTCAGAGACAATTTGCCTCAAAATGTTCATTTTTAACAAGTAGGCCTCTTGGACATTGTTCTTTCAGAATATCCTGACAAATCCCATAATTTCAGAAATTTCATTTTTATGACGTCATCACTTTAGTACTCTATTGAGTTTATCATTTTTTGTCTTAATTTGGGTATCAAATTTGCGATTGCTAATGGATTAAATAAGAAAGAGTTTTCAATATTTATTGTCTTACACAGGGTATGGTTTCGGGTTAAATGTCTTAAACGGGGTATCAAAAATCGGAATTCAGTCTTAAACAGGGTAGGAAAATCAGCGATTTTTGTCTTAAACAGGGTCAGGGTATGAGGGGCCGGGTCGCACCTCCCCACTAGAGACTACAATCGTCTTTGTTCCTGTAGCCTGCTTTTGGGGAGGGGGCAGGGGTGGGGGAGGGTGGGCGATTTACAAGGACTGTTGCATTGCTAATATTTTAGGCTGGCTAGTCTGGTGAAGTTACAAACGGAGGTTTCATCATAAATTACATCTGCAACGCAGGTTAGGACTTGCCAGCTCTCATTTTATGCACCCACAAGTGATGAGAACTAGTCTAGTACCATGTCCTTTCCTTATCACACCATGACAAAACATTGTAGCCCTACACGATCCTCTTTGTAATGGTCACAGGGCCTTCACAGTATATTATGGTGGCCATAATGTAGCAGAGTTTGCAGTAACCTATCTAATAATCACCATAAAATTACACATATAAAATATGTTGATTTTCAATGGGATTGCTTTCTTATTTTCTTTGAATTATCGCAAGACAGGAGTGAATTTATTTATTCCTGCATATATTAGAAACACAAACAGGAGTTCACGAGTTCAACCATATCTGAATGTGTTTTTATAATCAGGGTGCAAAGAAAGTCATTTTTAAAGCTTGCCATTCGGGCAGCTAAAGCTAGCATATACTAGCCCAAACGTCATTTAAACTAGTCCCAAAAACATTTTGATGAGCAGAATTGATTTTACAGTTTTTTTGTAATTTAAATTCCTCAAAAAATTTCACTTACCCATCGGGCAAGTTAAGAACAAAATTCCTTGGCATAGCAAAATCCACTAGCCCCCGGCTATCGGACACTACTTTCTTTGCATACTGATATATGTTCATGAAACCATGTGAAAAGCAACCAGAAGCTAATTTCCTTTGTAGCTTCCCAGGCAGACATTGGGTTTTTGAACACTGATCTTACATGTATTTGCAAACAGTAATGAAATAAAAAAAATACAAATATAAATATATTTAGGACAGCTTTATTTTTCTACCACTATGCCGGTTTCTATAAAAATGACTAATACCTCAAATCTAGTATAATGGAATTCTAATAATATTACTGCTTAACAGACAGTTCAAAGGTTTGTATACATCAAAAAAACGTTTCTATAAAATACAGTTAATCGCAATAGCATATAATTATCATGGCCATGACTATTTTCAGACTAAAAGTTAAAATTGTAGTTCAGCTCACTGCTAAACAAAAGATTGTAGTTCAATAAACTGTTAAATCAAATGGAAAAAAATCTATCAACAGCACAGCCTCGATACTCCTCACTTGTTGATCTTGTTTACAACAAGCTGCAACACAAAAAACAATACATAAAATTCTAATTCACTAGAAAACTCAAATTCTTTTCGAGATCAGATGGTTAGTTACTTATTTAAGCATTTAGAAAATAGCCTCGCTTTGAAACAGAGGCTTGGGACAACTTGAAAATGGCCAATTTGTTTTTGCTTTACAGTATTAAGGTGTCTGTTAGCAAAGGGTAAAATCATCAAAATTACAACATCGGGAACTAGTATCACCAAATTTAATTAAACAAAAAATAACTGCCCAAAACATTAAAAAAAGATATAAACCATACAGCAAACACAAAAAGCCCGGTAGACACACTTCCAGATGAAAACAGAATGCAACTGTGGTTTTCAAAAACTGATATGTTCACCTGACTGATTATCAGAGTTTTTTGTTCGTTTGTTGGTTTTCTAAGTAACAATTATGTTTGGGAGACACTTGATTTCTATTAAAGGGGACTGTGGTATTGTTGTTTGCAAGTAATTTTTTTGCTTAACCCTTCAAGCCCCAATATCCACCTACAAATTCTCCAAACTGATCTCTATACATTTCCTTCAAGAATAAGTTGAGAGAATTTGATAAAAGATCAAGGCATTTTCCCTTAGGTGATCATTTTATTAACTCTCATAACCTAATCTCGACATTGTATGGATATCGTTAGGAGAAAATTGACGTTAGACACTATTGGGAGTTGAAGGGTTAAGTTAAGGTCTTTGAATAAGGCTGCATAATTGGCATTGTCAACAAATCGAACTTGACAGCCACGATAAGGCCCATTTAATGTACTACCATCACCCTTTGAGCCCCAGTATCCACATACAAATCCTCCATACTGATCTCCATACATTTCCTTTCTGAATTACTTGAGAGAATTTGATAAAAGATTTTAAGATTTTTTTCTTTGTGATCACTTTATTTGTTCTCATACATAGACTATGCTCTTCACTTATCTATGGATATTCTTAGGAGAAAATTGATGTTGGTCACTATGGGGACTTAAAGAGTTAAGCTACTTACGCAATCACAAAGAAAGAGAAAACCAGTCCTGCAAAGGATTTCACGCTGACAGCTCCAGATGCTGTTAAGATATACATATAA